AGAGAAATGTGTGTTACCAGTTGTGAAAAACTGTTGGGATTCCATAAACACAACTTTTTGTATATTGATAACTTATTAGAATATGTCACCTTGTGGTGGACATTCTCTTTCAGGTCTCATAGTGGGCACAGTGGTGGATCTGCAGAAGAGAATCCTTAAAGGGCACAATTGTGGACCAAGAGAGCGTCTGTACCATGTGTTACTGATAGCAAGAAATGAGACCAATAGCTCATGGTGTGGTGGCTCCCTGATCAGTGACCAGTGGATTCTGACTGCAGCTCATTGCTGGAAGCCCGGATGGTGAGAAAATGACTGTTTTACTAAAAAACTAGTAACAATATATTCATCACTAATAAATTCGATCTGAAAGTCCTCAAGCCATTGGTGATGATCTCATGTAATACTAGCATTCCCAAAATAAAGATAGCATTGCACTGCAAAAACTATATTTATAAATGAGTATAATATTATATTTAGGTTTAAAATCTAGTTAATAACAATAACAATACATTTTATTTATGGCTTTCATGGTACTCAAATATACCACACGTAAGTTAAAATGCATAGGGTAGATACATAATTGGACTCGTTTTGAATGTGGACTGGAATATCTAGTGCTCACATGCAAGGCTGTTTAACTTAACTCAAGCAAATGTCAAGCCTTGTCTTAAATAGAAATTAAATTAAATCTTATTTGGGTATATTTTTAGCTATGTACAAGGGAGATATTAGCTGCAGGACAGTTTGTTTTGAAACTTATTTTAAGAAAAAACATCTTATTTCAGGTTTTAGTATTTAGGCTTACATTATTCTTGACTTTATCTTGGAACAAAATATCTAATTTGAAGGTTTAGATTTGTTCACATTAGTTTTGTTTCAACCCATCACATTCCATTGAATAGTGCTTCAGATGATTTACATTACTTCCATGCATACAATACAAAACTATAGTCTCAGAACAACACTCAATAAAATAAATAATAATACAGAAACTAATAAAAACTAAACTAAAACTTAAAATTCAAACAATAAAAACTAAACTGAAATTAGCAGCCTCCCTCTGGAAACTAATTGAAACTACACTGAAATGAAAACAAATGAAAAATTAAAACTATTGAAAAATAATAAACTATATTAACTCTGGACATTAGTTTTGCAGGTATTTGGTCATAAGTTAACGTATTTAACTAATTTTAACTTGGTGATGACATAAATACATCACATAAATATCTGAATCAATTTATCTAGTACACGTTGAGATATTTCATAGTGAAATATGATGAACCCATTAATGGACATTGTCATGGCAGAGCCACCTCACCACGCTGATCACCACACCAGCTGATACATGTCTTGGTGGTTAGCCCACATGAATCTAAAGGTCAGAGATTCAAAACCAAGGCTTGGCTGATTGTTTTTCAGAAACAATAATAAAAGTCTTATTTTAAATCACTAAATCCTGTAATATTTGACTCAATAATACAGTGTTTGTATTGAGTGTGACCACTTACAGATTCCCCAAGATATACTTTTTTCTTATTTCATTAAATCTTACTGTGTGTAATACTGCACTGGCAGATATGTTTCTCATCTTATTGTTATATTCTGATAGAAAATAGATACTTTATTAAATAATTTTGCAGTGTGCTTATCTTCATGTTCAGGAATTACTCACCTGTTATTAAAATGTGTGTATTTACAGTAATTCAGTGATGTTCTTCTTTAACCTCTACTGATTTGCAGGAATATAACTGCACATTTAGGAGTGCATCCACGTCAAGAAGAAGGTACAAGAAAAAGGTTGCAAGTGCAACAAATCACAGAGCATCCTAAGATCTTTACAGACCAAGACAACAACAATGACAGGGAGCATGACATCATGCTGCTGAAGCTACCCAACAAGGTTCAGATCACACCTGTAAAACCTCCTGACTGTGATAACCAGTATAATGCTGTTAATAAAACGTAAGTTGTGTTTTTTTTTTTTTTTTCTCTTCATCGTCTGGGGGGGAGCTGAACATTTGCATGATTATTGAATTATTCGGTTTATTGTATTTCAGAGGTGCTATAGTTCAGATTGCCGGTAATGCAGCCAACACTACAGGCCCTAATAATACAAAAGGTGAGATGAATCTTGTTTAGTTAATAGGTTTAACACTTTTGCTTATGTATGGTAACAATGCTGACACATATTTACATTAAGTACAGTTTTATTATTTATTTTTATTAACTGTTATTAATCATAATTATGCATGTATGTAATAAAACTAAAACAAAAAAAAAGGAATATCTATCTATATAAAACTAGTGCTGGGCAAAGATTAAAATTTTTAATCGCGATTAATCACATGATTTTCAAAATTTAAAATTCAATACTGAATTCAAAAGTAGTGTTTTGGGCACTTTTATTTTAAAAGTACTGCTTATGAACAAAAGTGCAATAACATTTGGTTTGAATACACAACTTTACACTTTAAACAAATAAGTTGCTTTTTAACAGCAGTATTCCCTTTACACAGTAGCAGTTAAAATAGCGTGCGGACTTTAATTGAAACGTTCTACTGCTGTGCAACATGAATCAAACAAAATGTCTCTGGTTTCTGGTTTCATGACAGTCATAGTATGTGAATGCAGCTCCCACTGTCCATCAATATAATGCACTGTAACTCTGAGGTAACTATGGTTACCCAGCGATGTCCAGTAGTCTCCAGTCACTTTTGTAGTCCTCTCCTTT